TACTGTCAAAGTTACTCCGCCAGTGTCTTTTTGGGGTTCGCTTTTGCCCGTGTTCTGTCGAGTTAGGCTACTGTAATGCTAATCGATAGCCCTAACCCTAACTCTTACCCTAACACTAATCCTAAAATGGTGAAACTGCACATGCACAGAAAGGCTCGATAGCACGTCTCCATAGGTAGCTCAACCCGTCAGAACACCTGTCCCAAGCCCGATATAGGAAGAGGGTTGGAATTGTGATATATAAAAAAAAAAACAGAATGAAGTTAATTTGTAGTTCTAAGCATATATATGGTGTTTTTTTAACCATTTTCTGTCTCTCCCATGACATTATTCCTCTCCTACAGCATCCATTACAATTAACATGCGCGTTATGCAAATGAGGCGATGGCATCATTTAGTGACTTCTAGCGACTTCTGGGAGAGCCAATAGTGACTTTCCTTGCTGAGGAGTTGGCAACAGTGCCTAGGCGGCCGCCTGTGTGGCCTGTAGGATTGGCCAGTCCTGCATTAGATGACAGCTGTCGGCTCCACTGATTTTAATATCTCGCAAACTGAGGGTATGTAGACTTACCCGTGAAGTGCAAGCGGTGTGGAGGGCGGTCACTTTGTTAACGTCTAGTGATCTTTGAAGTGCGTAATTTCGGGACGCTTCCCCCTCTTGTACCGAAAAAAACAGCCCCACACAATCGGATAAATACTGACCCACACAGCCAAGCCTTATTCCCACAACGAATGCTAACCTCTTTCCTTCACTCTTTGAAAAATACTTTTGGTTCCCCCCACTACATATGGACGCACGTGTTGTGTTATTTATCGTTGCTTTCATCATAAAATACGAAGAAGAAAAAAAGACTTTTATATAGGCATGCAGTTAAATATTACGTGGTTCCGTTAACGTTGTTCCCCATGTGTGCTTGATTTTTTAAATATGCGATTTATTTAGATTTTAAACTTTGTCCGGAATCAGCTTGTTTGATCTAGAAGTTTTTCATACGCCTTATCGGCCGAAATTTTCCTTTTTGTCTTTTTTCAGTTTGTACACACTATCTGGGACAATTAAATAGTCCGCGGTCATTCACGCAATGCATGCCACTGGTATCGTACGAAAATGGGTAGGTCTATGAGGGCCTGTGTAGCGAGGGTGTTTTAAATTACCAGCTAAGCTTTCACATGATTTACTTAAACACCAGTTAGTCTGGAATTAGTAATACGCAGCCTATATTGCTTAATAAGCTTTGCTAAGCATGTAAATTAATTCATGTGGGCTTGTTCTTTTTCATTAAGACACATTAATACCAACTAGTTTTAAGAATAATGGAATGTTCCTTTTTCTTCCTCTGTTGTTGGCGCCCCCTGCATGGATGGCACCCTTAGCACTTGCCTATATTGCCTATGGCAGGGGCCGGCCCTGCCAACAGCAAAGACTTTCAGTGGGGTTAAAGTCAAGACTCTCTGGTAGCCAATTCATGTGTGAAAATGGTTCCTCATATTCCGCGAACCACTGTTTCACAGTTCAAGCTGGTGAATTTTGGCATTATCCTGGAATATGCCCATGCCTTTAGGAAAGAAAAAGGCCATTGATGGACTCCTGGCCGTTCAGGAGATTCAGGTCCTCAGCTGACTTCACTTTGCTATGACTTTTTTTGGCCAGCCTGTATATAAAAACACTTGTCCACTGCATTCATGTATTTTTTGACTCAACCACTACCTTGCTTTGTTTTATTAGTATCTCATTGAGTCATTTAATCAATTGAGTCACAATCATTGTGATTCAGGATGTCAGCCTAGCTCTTTGAAATAGAAAGGCAGCTTAAGAACAGTACTGCATTCAAGCATTTACTTTTTGATTGTATTCTGAAGTTTAGTACTTTTTGTCAAAATAGTATAGTATATCTACATATTTAAGCAGCCTACCGGCATGGCAGTGCAATACCACATAATGGCATTCTAGCAAGTGCCATCATAAAAATAATAATTGATACTTTATTAAGCCTGTGGGGAAATTGTCTTTTTATACCTACTTCAACTTGCTCTGTTAAAGTAAGCTGTCCATGAAGGGCAGCCACCTGTCGGGGCGCCCAGGGAGCTGGGGGTTAAGGGCTTTACTCAAGGAGCCACAGACGTGCTGAGGCTGGGTTTGAACCAGCAATTACAGGCACACAGGTTTAGCCCACTGAGCCACACACTGCCCCCAACAGAAGAGTTAGAGAAGGTGTTTTCAGGGACCAGCAAGATTATTCTTACTTTTTTACACATTTACTGTTTGTACTGTGTGCACTGTTTTACATTGTATGTATGTTTCTATTCTTTATACCTTGTTGCTATATGCAGAAGACTTTCCTCTTGGCATTAATGAAGTTTACCTTCTTCCTTTGACCGTGATGACGACTGACTTATAAGCTGATTTAGGCTCCCAAGAGCTGTTCTCGTACTGTAATGTACTGATGTTGGTCCAGTATTATAGAGATCAGATTCAGGTTGTACTGGTTCTCATACAGGCTCTGACTACGTCAAAACATTCTGGCAAAAGGTCAGAAGCTATTGACTATGCAGTTGGTGACTTCTGCACACTGCTTTGGTATTAATGAAATTATCCAGGCCACCATCCATCATCTCATTAGGTACATGCCCTGATGTTGTCAGGCATGCATGCAAGCATGTGGGGGTTATTTTTGTTAGTTTTTATTTTTCTTTATGGAAAATGGTATGTCTGTGAATGTAATCCTCAGCACAATACTGTGAAGATGTGAACAAAATAAGTGTTTCTGCACTTCATGTTGGCCTCAAAATTTCTATATCTCATTTTAGCCCTAGTTATATGAATATGTGCCTTATTCAACTTGGGTTTATAACTAAGCAACCTGTAGCTGAAACTGCCAAAGCTGTATTATTGAAGAAACACTTGAATTCTCAAAGTAATTTAGAGCGTCTTGCCTGGGTCTCCATTGTATTGTCCTTTTTGAAGACTAAAGTGAAACCGGGCCAAGGAGTTTTAGGGACCAGCAAGATTATTTTTAGGTTTTTACTTGTTCACTGTTTGTACTGTATGTGTGTTTCTGTTCTGTATATCTTGTTACTGTATGCAGAAGAGTTTCCTCTTATGAAGTGTATCTTCCTCTTTTCACCATGATGATGACTGACTTATGTGGCTTATGAGCCTATTTACGCTCCCAAGTCGAGCAGACAGATCAGCCATATCCCTCCCAAACTTCAGCTCCTCCATGCCTTTCATGCTGGATGGTGTAACCAAACTGGCATGGTGCTACATCGTGTTTCCCTACACATTGAGTGAACAGGCAAATGTAAAAACTAAATGCTGTGATTTCAGTTGTACCTACACTGTTTTACAGTGAGATTCTGTATGTTGATTGCACATCTGACAAAACATTTGTCTAGCAGTATTAAAACTGTAGTATACATGTTGTCTTGATGTGGCATTTTGTGTTGATTTTATTGTAGACCAATCATTCTCTCTCTTGTGACCGAGGTTTTATTTTTTAATGTTATTTTTATTGTTAGTTTTTATTTTTTATGGAATATTATGCAATGCTGTATGGCTGTGAATGTTATCCTCAGCACAATACTGTAGAGATGTAACAAAATAAGTGTTTCTGCACCTGATGTTAGACTCAAAGTTTCTGTATCTTATGTTAACCCTGGTTATAAAAATCAGTGTTACTGACCATAGGAAACACAGGGTGTCCAGTCTAGGATTTAACCTACATGGATGCAATAAAAGACTGGAATTCTACACAAGTGGCTTCTGACTCCTGATTTGGCTTAAAAGAATTAACTACATTATCTCTAAAGTGCCGAAAGGTGACATTTTGTTGCTTGTGATTATCAGCCAATATTATATTTAAATTGTTTATTTTCAAGAGTGAATTTAAAAACTTGACCATACAAAGAGGTGCAACCAGGCTGATAATTACCTGTCTGATTTGTGAATTTTTCACAGTCCACAGTTAATCAGCCAGTGACTGATAAGTGCATGAGACAGCAGGGGTTAAAGACAGTCATTTTGACATCGGAAACCTGTTTCCAAAACTCACACTGTCAATCATATTAAAAATGCATTTGTGTTCTACAAACTTTGATTTGTGAAAAAAATCAAATGTATTTTAGCACATTTGTTTATTTTTAAACATTTCACTTCATTGAGCTCTATGGCTTAAGTGCAACTGCAGATCTAATCCTGAAACACCCAAAATAGTGACCCATGAGGACCAAACCAAGCTCATACTGGGCAGACTGATCTACCAATCAAATGTGGTCAGTCAGTCATAGGTCAGTGTGTGTATACATCTGGCAGGTCATAGGAAAATAGGCTGTTTTTACACTTAAATCTTACGAACAATGAATATACCCTCCAAAATCACAATATCCATGATGTTTTTAACAGAATATGATGTGAAAAAATTCACAAATATATTTGCATGCATATTATCACTTTATGGTCCAATGTTATAATAGATTTGCAATTTTCTGTAGTTTTTATTTCATTGTTTAGTTTTATTAGTGTAAATTAAAAAAAATACCAAAATAAAACTTCACCAAAAGGGTGGGAAATTAACGGTATGTCCTCTAGAGGGCATGATTGTTTTACAACCTGTTTTTATAGCAGTATGTATCAGTTCGTCAAATTTAGTCTCTTGCTATTTAAAAACTTAATTATTATTGAGTGATTGTTCCTTTTATTTTTAATTTATAATATAGGCCTACAGGAAAACCAGCTGTTAATAAATGGAAAGCATCTGAACTTTACAGAATGCTCCTTAGGTCTTCACGACAGGGAACCAACTATTTAGGAGGATCTTTTTATTAGCTAGCGAAGAATTAAGGGCCATTCTGTTTGTGAGTGTCACGCCATGCAGATGCGGGGGTTGACATGAAAGAATGTAGTAGTTCGGCTTTAAGTGACAATGACAGAAGGCTGTTTGATATAAATCTGAGAAGTCCCGATCATCCGCAGCAAAAGGGGAGGATAGACGGAGGTATCCGCCAGGACCGGTCCCGGAGCCGTAGCAGGGTGACTGTATCCGGGTTAGGGATCGGCGCCTCTCCAGCCTGCGTTATTAATATCCGCCGAGCCGTTGTTATTGAACGCCAACCCGCCGTCTGTCTTCCTGCTGCTTTCATGCTTTCTTGTCGAAGTTGACGGCCGATTTCGCACTTTGAGAACGGGCCAGGTACATTTATATTTCACAAATATACATTTTAAACTCCGTGTTTTAACGTGCGTGGAATGGCGTCGCCTTTACGCCGCGTTTGGTCGAGGAGCTGCCGCTAGCTAGGCAGCTAAGCTAACTACACCCACTATTTACAGTCAGTCTTTGGGCGGCGAAACTTTAAAATGATTAATCGACAGCGCAATAGAGATCCCCCTGGTTCTGGTTATTGATTGTTGTTATTAGCCATGTGATGGTATTATTTTAACATGAAGCTGTGAATTAGGATGAGTGGGTTGGGAAAAGCACAGGCTGCATCTTCAGTTAATCTAGTTATCTAGTGTAAGTCGTTTGTTTGCTGTAATTAAGTGCCAATGCAACAGTGAGGGTGGGGGGATTGTGGTAGCTGGCTGCTTGTGATAAACAGCGGTGCCTGTGTGCTGGTAGATGGAGGGAGGGGAGTGCGGCAGCTTGCCCGAGCAGCCGGGACACTCGCAGAGGGGCAGCGTGTCTTCATCTGGCCTCCGCGGTAAGGAGCTTCTGCCTCTGCGGTCTCCTAATCCAGTGTTTCCCAAACCAGTCCTTGGGGCATACTGGACAGATCCACATTTTTGTGTTATTCCAATTCCCAGCACACCTGTATGGTGTTTAGAGCTCCTGATTGCTTGGGTCAGGTGTTCTGGGAACTGGGATGAAACTAAAATGTGGATCTGTCCAGTATGCCCCCAGGACTGGTTTTGGAAACACTGTCCTAATCCCTTCTGCTGTACACTGGTCCTTTTGGGCTAACAATAATATCAGTCTGAGTTAATGTCTTTGTACACCTGTTGTCAGTCAATGTATTTTATTGTTGGCAAGAAAAAAAGATGCAAAAATGACTAATAAAAACAATAACTATAGCTTAATATTTCAAGGTACAAATTTAACTGCATCTTTCAATGTGTAAAGAAGATTGTAAAATTAGGTGTGTGCTTGTATGGGTCATCTCTTGCCTGCTTTCCTCGCTCTAGCCCAGGACGTGCTGATATACCTGGTCGGGGACAGCGCAGTGCACCTGTGCTTCGAGGGGGTCAGCTACGTCACCGTGCAGGAGCTGGGCCGCAGCGTGCGGGAGACGCTGCACATCCCGGACTCCGCGCAGGACGCCTTCGCCTTCTGGCTCTGCTCCCCGCTGCTAGGTATCCTCCATTGCCCTGCTTTCCCACTTGCGCCCCCTATTGGATGGATGCAGAAATGTGTGGTGGGCTTTTGGTAGCTTCTGCCCCAGCATTTAATGCCCGCCTCGCTTCTGCCCCCAGAGCTGCAGCTGAAGCCCAAACACCAGCCATACAAGCTGTGCCGCCAGTGGCAGGACCTGCTGTACCGCTTCACCGAGGCCTCGGAGGAGGACATCTCACACGGTTGGCACCCCCGTCTTTATTTTTACACCCCTCTGCTTTGGTGTTTTAGTCCAGTACCGGGCTTCAGGTCCTCCAATGTGTGGAATTCTGTGTGCTGTCAATCACAGGGTGCCCCTTTTTTTATTGGTTATTTATTCGGGTTAAACCAAGCTGTTAATGACAGGGGGTAGGGTTTTCATTTCTCAGCTTAATCTTATGCTTGCTGTTCCTTTGTGTCCCTGACTACCGTGTTATTCACGGCCATATCTGTAAAAGCATGATAATAGGAACAACTTAAGAGTTACTTTCTTGGTTAATCAGCTGATTCTCTTATCCAGAATGACTTTTTAAAAATGTTTGTTTTATACGGTTGATATTTACTGGGAAAGCACTGCAGTGCTGTATCAGCACTTTGGGACTTACGGAGACTTGCAGATTCCTGTTTTAACCTCTCTGACTTGCTGACTTGCTGCTTTGTCTTCCTGTCTGTATCTTGCGTTCATTTCCCCTCTCTTGTTACCACCCAGATGAGCCGTTTCTGCAGTACAGAAGAAACGTGTTTTTCCCCCGAGCCAAAGAGCTCCAGGTACTTCGAGTTCCCCTCTAGACGCTTTATAGCTGTTACTGTTGCTTATTTTAGGTGATTCTGCAGGTGAAATGGCAGGTTTATAACCGATCATAAAGTCATCTGCATGGGCAGACGTTTGTGTTTTTAATCTGTAGTTCTGTCTCCCCATTTTTTCAGCTAAATTTTGGCTCTTTTTCCTCCTCTATCCACACAGATAGAAGAGGAGGCCGTACTGAGGCTCCTGTATGAGGAGGCGAAGGACAATGTCCTGGGGGGCCGGTACCCCTGCGACCCCGAGCACTGGTTGAGGCTGGGGGCCCTCTCCTGTGCCCTGGAGCTGGAGCCGGGCCTGGACGCCGCCAAAGCCTCGGCTGCCGTACGGTATGCCAAGCCCTCCTCATGCTAGCTTGTGGGAGATTTACTTGTAGTTTTACTTGTAGATAAATGGGATGTGCTGACATCTGATTGGTTGGTCCCACCTCTTCTACAATCTGATTGGTTATCTCTCTGAGCCAATCATTTTTCAATTTGTCCTCAGGGCATTTTTGTGTAAATAAAACTCCATAAGCGTCAAGCTTACGGGATGACTTTGGTTCTCGGAAACATTCAGAACCGCCTCTCTTCCTCCCTGACATGCTCACAGGGAGAAGAAGCTCTCATCCTTTCTGCCAGCCCACGTGGCAGGAGGCAGCGGGGGGCTTCTGTCGACTCTGAGGGGCAGAGGGGGCCGCCATTCGGGCCTGGAGCTGCAGCTGCTGGAGGAGTACGCCGCCGTTAGCCACGGTGCCGAGGACGGCAGCCCGCAGGAGCCTACTCATTACCTGCGGAAGTACCTCAGCACCTGTCACGCTTTGCCTTACTATGGGTAAGCAGGGGCGGGTGTTTGAAGCGGGTATTTACGCACCTGCCATTTTAGTTTAGCTACCCCTTGTTACCTAGTGAGAGTTGCCAGGCATGACCAACGTTTCCTGCTCGCGGGCCGATCACAGGTGTGCTTTCTTCGCGGGAGAAATCGACAAGCCGGCCCAGGGCATCCTGCATCGGGGGGGTCGCAAGGCTGTCAGCGTGGGCATCAGCCTGGAGGGGGTGTACATCATGGATGTGAAAGAGAAGGTGAGCACCGGGCAGTCGGGGGGTGGTTTGATGGCAGTGACCCCTCTGGTGCTCTGCCAGGGCTGCACATCGCGGGTGGGACAGCACCACTGTATAATAGGGCTGTGCTCTGCTGCTCTTTGTACCCCCAGCACATTCTCCTGGGCCTGCGCTTCAGCGAGCTGTCCTGGGACCACAGTTACCCCGAAGGGGAGGGCGACTCGCACATACTGTGGCTCGAGTTTGACGGGGAAGAGGCAGGAACCCCTGTCAACAGGCTGCTGAAGATCTACTCTAAACAGGTAATGCACTCTGGGAAGGGCTTCCACCAGGTGGCGCTGTGTGCAGAATGTCTGCAGAAGTTCCCAGGTCAAGAGGTGCGGCCGTAACGATCATCCTGAAGGTGATTGGCTGCTTCTATGTTGTAGGCGGAGCTAATGAGCGGCCTGATCGAGTTCTGCGTGGAGCTGCGGGCCATCGCGGAGGGGATAGCGACAGGCTCAGATGGCGACCTCGGGCCCCCCCAGGCACAGGCGGGCGCGGCGGGGGCTACTGGCAGGCCGAGGGGGGGCCAGCGCGGGAAGCTGCGCAGGCAGAGCAGCGTGGTGTGCAACCGTGTACACACCCTCAGCACCATTAGCTACGTGGATGATGGTGAGGTCCATTTCCTCACAGGAACTTCCCCAGGAATTAAGGGAAACCTGTTATGGACAGTGTGCGCTACACAAAATGGCACTTAGCTTGTATTTGAGATATAGGAGTTAGGTGACCGGATAACATCACAGATACTCTGGCACTGGACGCCCAATGATTGGGATGAGTGGAAGTGCGGTGGTCATGTGACCTCTGACATGTCATGTGACCCCTGTTCTATGTCTGTTACCCACCCCCCTCCAGGCAAGGAGATTAAGCGCCTGAAGCCAAAGAGAGCAGCGTCCTTCTTCAACCGTCAGGCAGCCGCTCCCGCCTACTCTGCCGTCCAGGTGACGGAGAGCCTGGAGCAGGGGTGAGCCCTGAGCTACCGCCCCCTGCTGCCCAGAGACCAAAACTGAACCTTCACACTGAAAAAAAAAAAAAAACTGGAGCACGTGACAAGTGATTGAGGAGGACCAAACTAAGGACCAAGTTGGGCGACAATAACAAGCTGCAAGCATATACGTTAAATCTCTGTAGTTTGTATTAAATTTAACTTATTTCACTCGCAGAGTATCGTAATAAGGTAGATGTTTGAACTCTGTTAACGAAACAGAAGGCAGTTGAGTATTGATTTTTAGTCACGTGATCAGTTTAATTTCTATTGATTTTTCACCCAGATCGGTGATCAGCATACTGTGAAGGAAAAAAAAATCTTGATAATCAGAAGTACCCTTATATTCTGATATTTATGGGCTGCGTTTCTCTCAGAAGGCGGCAGTACTTCGATCTATCTAACTCTGTGCCAGCAGCCCTGTGCTCCATCTCTGTTGTTCTGCTCTGTACAAACTAAAATCTCCTTTTCCCTCTTTCTGAGGAAGCTTTTGCTTTGTTAGGACAGATTTTGTATATTGAAACTGTCCACTCGGAGTGCTGGGAGACATTTCAGCACGAGCTACGCGGCGTCCTGCACATGGTACGACCAGATAGCGCCTGTCTGCCATTTGCGTAGAGCTTAGGTTTTGTGTGGAAAGGTCAAATAAAAGGTTCACGGCAGATAAAACAGGAAAAGAAAGATAACATCGTCAGTCAGACACGGGTTCAGAGTAACACGGACTTTGATCCCTGTGTTTCCGTATAACGCACCATTAGCTGTAGGGAACCTTAGCAAATTCAGTGTATGCTTCAGAAAGCTAAATCACGTTACGAAACATAGACATGTACATGTCCAAAAACATTCCTTCAGACAGAAGAAATAACGTTTACTAATAGGATGTTTCAGTAACACAATCCAGTACTTATGCAATATCATGTATGCAATACGAACACCAAATGACTCTCCACACACGATCTATGCATGACGTAGCCTCCGAGCTGCTGTACGTAAGCGTTTCTCTGATTGCCTGCGTGTTCTCTATTGTTATGCCCCCTGTAGAATTATAAGCAAGACAGACTGAGAGAGGACACTTTAATATTGCACTTATTTATATATGTCTGCTGTAATTGTCAGATAATGGAAGTTACCAAATCACCATTAATATTGTTTTTGTTATTGTCACGGTCAGCCTAAACAGCGATGGCGCGAGATCACCTCTGTGCGCTCATACTTTTGTGATCTAACTGGCCTTCGCCGTCATTTTGGAAACGAGACAAACGTAAAGTGCCTTTTTATATTTGCAATCGCGTGGTAACTACCGGGCATCAAGTCCTCGTGTTTGTCCGTTTGCGTTGAAAAATGTGAGTGCTGTATCCCGTCTGATGGAGATGGTCTGTTACATTAAGATTGGCAGTGATTGCTAGTAATACCCTCGATTCAGTGACACTGCACAGTGACGCCCTCATGTGGTACCCACGATAACTGCAGTGATTGTCATTATCAGAGGGACTCGACTCTATGATCTATTTCATTTTTTCGTACTGTTTTTTTAACACAGACTACCAAACTTTACTAACTACGATTATCCAAAAGCATTAGTAAACACTTCTACTGTATACTCTCACTTTATACATTTTTTTGACTAAAGTAAATAGTGTCCATTAATAGATTTTTATATTATTTGTGGTAAATGTGCTCATGATGTATTCACGATAAATAAAATATATGCATAAATACATGCGGTGTGTGACGTTTCTTGTCTCTATGTGTCCCAGCGCATTGTTTTTGTTCAGATTTAGGAAAAGTGTGCATTGTGTGTCCTATGACAGGTCTTCCAGATGAACTCTAGCAAATAGTATTGGAGAACTTATAACCAGAGGCAAGCTTGGACCAGGGACACGTGCTGCTACATTTTTTTTTTAGATTAAAAAGCTTTCTTTTTCACCTGGATAATGCAGTTTGGATTGAAGTTGCTTCCTCTGACTGTGTGTTAGGGTCCTGATATGAGCAGGCAACTAATTTGTCTTCATCCCTGGGGAAAAAACAGCAGGAATCCTGGTTGCAATCCTTATGGTCACCATTTTGTAAGGGTACAGTTAACGTCATATTTAGCAGACACGTTTTTCTCAACTGAATATATGATGTTATGCTACAAACTCTGTGGTTTAAAGTTTAAACCACCAACCTTCCAATTACACGGACGGAGTTCTAACCCGCAGATCTACAAAAAAAAGTGTAACACTCTCCCCGTCGGGGAATCGAACCCCGGTCTCCCGCGTGACAGGCGGGGATACTCACCACTATACTAACGAGGAGATGCGTGACTGTTTTTCTCACATGTTCAAAGCGGATGTGATGTTACATATCCATTTAAATTTTGTTCATTTTTGTATATAATCAATGCTTTTTTCTTACAGTCTTCCCCTTTACTCTATATTTATACTCGGCTGGGTGTCACTTTGTTGGACAATGTTTTGAAGTGCAGATATATTACATACAATACGGGACCTGCATTTCCGTTTCGCTGGATAGCGTTATTGTTCCACGTAAGGAAGTGATCGTATCCACTCCAGGTACTGCCTTCTGTCCTGTCCGTCGGCGCCGTCCTTTTATCGGTGTTTTTGGGAGAACCGGGCCGAAATGGACGCCACCGCCGGTGCCACGACCCCGCCGGAGTCGGAGCCGGCTCGGAAACGCAGGGTGCACGGCATGCTGAAGCTGTATTATGGGCTCAATGAAGAGGGCAAGAGCTCGGATAAGCCCGAGTCGCTGGACCCGTGCGACATCAACGGGCCGCATTTCGACCCGGAGGTCTTTCTCAACAAGGTGAACACAGCACCGGCTGTTCGTTTATACATAGCCGACGATTAACTGATCATGCTTCATCCCTAGTATAGAAGAAGATATTCTATGATCGCAGTGAGAGTGACTGGCGCCGTGTTATCCAGCTAGCTCGCGTTTAGCTGTGCTTTTATTAGCGATTTCATAATGAATAAACATATATTACAGTATTATTAATAAGAATTATAAGAGCTAAAGATTCCTCATCAGTTGATTGATGAGAAATGTGTGTATCAGAAATGTATTAAGTCACAAAATAAGACCAATATTATTACGTGGCAATCCAATTTCGTTGTACCTGGTACAATGACAATAAAGGCTGAATAGCCTTTATTCTATTCTATTCTATTCTACGTCACAATACATTGCATGTCACAGTTCTGGTTTATACATATGTGTAAAATTTATTTTGTGTGTCGGGTTGCGTCTGCTGGCTTTCAGCTGAGGAAGGAATGTTCCTTGGCGGAGCTGATGGACCAGGAGAGCTGCATGGTGAAGCAGATCCGCGCCTTAGACAGCGACATGCAGACGCTGGTCTACGAGAACTACAACAAATTCATCTCCGCTACAGGTCAGCGGTTCTGGGCTTAAGGGCGATGATGGGAATGAATGAAGGGGGAAGAAAATGTAGAGGGAACTTGCATTAGACGCTGATAATGTTAGGATCTTGCAGGTTGAACACAGTGCTGGAAAAATTAAGAGACCTCTTCATATTTTTTAATGTGCATTTTTGAACCTGGTTTAATCATGGTTTTGCCTGCAGAAAGCTGTTTGGCAGGCTGCTTCCGGGCTCAAAATTTCTAAAACCGCAGTACACAAGAACAAGGTGAAACAGGAGAAACTGGGAACCACCAGAAACCTGCTAGGTAAATGGCAGAAGCAACTTTCTAATGCCAGCGATGACTGTTCACTTATATGACGGTTTCTCATGAATCGTAGGATGACATCAAGTGACCTTCAGATGGAATTGGAAACATTAAGTGCAGGTGTGAAGTGCACTGCGAGGATAGTTTGTATCAGGCTTCTAGAAGCAGGACTGAGGTCCCATAAAGCAAGGAAGAAGCCCTTCATTAATGAGAAGCAGGGAAGAAACAGGCTGGAGTTTGCAAAAAATAAATATATTTTTCACAGACGCACATCCATAAACTGAGAAATTGGGCTGTGGTCTCTTAATTTTTTCCAGAGCTGTATATATGTTATGTAAGCCGCATTTGCTGCTGGTTTTGGACTGTGGTATCACGTTTATTCCTTTGTGTAAATTCTAAACCTTATTTAAGGAGGATTTGGCAGCCCTACTTTTTGTCTTGCCCCCCCCCCCCCCGAAAACTTATGTTAAATCCATTTAACAATTTTATCCAGTATTTCTTGGGGACTGAGCCCCCTCTGAGGGTGAAATCCTAGCATCGCCCATGGAATGCCCGTCTTTTCCTCTTCGGATATAAACCCTTGTCTCCTTAATGCACACATGCTGTGTGCCCAGGCGTGAATAATAACGAGAGAACCATTTTCACCTCCTCTTACGGCTACAGACACGATCAGGAAGATGAAGAATGACTTCAAGAAGATGGAAGATGAGATGGACTGCCTGTCCGCCAACATGGCAGCCATCACCGAGTTCAGCGCGCGGATCAGCGGCACTCTGCAGGACCAGCATGCGCAGATCACCAAGCTGTCTGGTACTGCACTAGCGTCCAGCACTAGTTTCACCCGTTCTCTGAAAGGGTTCAGTTAGCACGTTCTGCTAATGCTAATTAGCCAGTGGCTAATGCTAACCATTTTGGAATAGTATGCTTTACACTCACTAGCTTAGCTCCTTAACCGCTACGCCACCTGTCTGGCATGTAGAGAAGTTAAGACCCCGTCTCCCCCCTGCCATAGGCGTCCACACACTCCTACGCAAGCTGCAGTTTCTGTTCGAGCTCCCGGCCCGGCTCAACAAATGCCTGGAGCTGCAGGCGTACGCGCAGGCCGTGAGCTCGTACCGTCGCGCCCGCTCCGTACTGAAGCAGTACAGCCACATGCCCTCCTTCCGTGGCATCCAGGACGACTGCCACGCCATCATGGACCAGCTGGCCCAGCAACTGAGGCAGAAGTTCAGGTCGGGATGGGATTTTAATCCGCCAGATTTTGTGAGATGTTTGGCATAAGAGACCTGTTGCTAAGCTAAACACTGGGAAAATGGAAAAACGTATTTCCTTTAACTTTAGAAGATTACAGATTATTCATCCACAACTGCTTGTCCTGTACAACGTTGTGGTAGAAGGCAGGAGGTAATTCCAGGAAGCACAAAGTGCAAGGCAAGGGAACAACCTTATATGAGATGGATTTGCACATCAGTTTCTCTTTATGGACAGTTTAGAGTCCAGTTACAGTCTTTGGGCTGTAAAAGAAAACCATTCAACTCAGACCATGCAAACTCCACACACACGGATTGGGGATGGAATTTGAATCCCTATCCCTGCAGATATCAGACGGATGTGCGACCCACTGAGCCACCATGTGCCCATGATCGGTTTGCTGTCTTGCAGAATAGCATGCAAACTGCAAGGCTATGTTTATTAAACGTGGCATGTTTGTGGGGATTTTCCAGGGATGGCGGTTCGAGCGCCAAAGACCTGTCGGAGTGCGTGGAGCTGCTGCTGCAGTTGGACGAGCCAGCGGAGGAGCTCTGTGACAAGTTTCTCAGCCACGCCCAGACCAGACTGGAAGCCAACCTCCATAGCCTGGAGGCGGAGCTCCGAGAGCCTACTCCCGGGCCAATCGCTGCGTCCGATCTCCCTGCTAGTTCCACGAGCAAGCCGTCTGCGTCCCCTCTTGCCGGCACACCGACTGATTTGAGCTCCCCAACGAAGAATTCTTTCCCATCTCCCACCGCCAGGACAGACATTTTAGAATTTATTGACAGAGGCTGCAACGAGTTCGTCAGCAGCCTCTGTCTGGTCATTGCCTCCTACCAGGAGCTGTTCATTAACCGTCCACAAGAGGGCGACCTGGCATCAAAGAACATCCCCCAGATGGCTAGTGGCAAACTCCACAGCTTCGTCGACGCCTTGGCTGCTCGGTACTTCAACTTGGTGGAGCGCAGGATACAGGAGGAGAAGGGAGTGGGTGATAACTCGTTGCTGGTCCGGGCTCTGGACCGCTTTCATCGGCGCCTCCAGGCCGTGTCCAAACTGCTCCCTGGGTCTGCGGTACCGAGCCTGGGCACGGAGATTGTGGTGCGGGCGGCCAGGGAGCGGATCAAGCAGTACCTAGCTGCCCTGCAGAGCTTCTACCTGGACAGCCTGACCGATGTCAGGCAGGCTTTGGCTACTCCACGCATCTCTGTGGGGGGGGCGGTAGTGCCCCCGGGTGGAGGAATTCTGGGGGGGACGGCGCCTGGTAAGGACGCTACTCCGAGTCTCCCAGAGCTCCTAGCCTCTCTGTCTGCATCAATTTTGAACCAGATTAAGTCAGTGCTGGCATCTGTTCACCTCTTCACGGCTAAAGACATCACCTTCTCTAACAAGCCGTACTTCAAGGTGAGTGCTCACTTTTGCTTTCGTACGTAAGAATTTGTCATTTTCTGTATCTGTCTCCACTTGCTGGGCAATGTTTCTGACTCCCAGCTCTTTCTCTGGCGCCCCCTGGCCCCCAGGGGGAGTTCTGCAGCCAGGGCGTGCGCGAAGGTCTGGTGGTGAGCTTCATCAAGTTCGTGTGCCAGTCGTCGCGCCAGTTCTGCGAGAGCGCCGGCGACCGGGGCGGCTCCACTCCTCCCGCCCTGCTGCTACTGCTGTCGCGACTCTGCCTGGACTACGAGACCTCCACCATTTCCTACATCCTCACCCTCACGGACGAGCAGTTCCTGGCACAGGTAACCGAGCCGGACAGTGACCTGTAACACTTGATGCTCTTGGTGGATTTACTGATGCAGCCATTGGATAGAGACTCAGCCTGACTGGTCGCCTGCCTGTTGATGCCTGGATGATGCCATCAGTGGCCGTCAGATTTATCCAAACCGTAGCTGGTTAAAGTCAAAGTATCTTCAGCTATATGATCCATGAGATGAAATTACAGTCTCACTCGTCATAGTGCAAGAAACTGATACAGAATTTTAATATGAAAGACATTTAAACACTAACCATCTGATAGTTTAACCACAGCATATTCAGATATGGATGTTAGAAATAGACTGAAATCTTAAATACTCAAATTCTGGGCTGCTCTTATCTATTTTATTGAAGTAATTGTTCAGACAGTAAATGTTAGCTAGTGCTAATTATAATCTCCAGTGTAGACTGGGCCTGGAAACCACTTGTCCAGCTGATGTGGCGAAACAGTCCTGCAGAATAATTTTTTTCTCCGTTTTAGTTGACCAGGAGCTTCTCAGATGTAAATTCTGCTTTTCTCTCTTCCTTGTGCCCCCCCCCAGCACCATGCCCCGGTGACGCCCGTCACGGCGCTGTGTTCGGAGGCCCGCGAGGCTGCACAGAAGCTGCTCAACCACTATGTTAAGGTGCGTTGGCGCCCCCACATGGCGGATCAGTCCAGATGCGTCATATTAAAACACGACACCAGTGATCGCCGTCCAGTCAGTGACCTCCAGCGCCATGTGCCTCGCAGGTCCAGGGCCTCATCATCTCCCAGATGCTGCGGAAGAGCGTGGAGACGCGGGACTGGGTCAACACCATCGAGCCGCGCAACGTGCGCGCCGTCATGAAGAGGGTCGTGGAAGATACCACTTCTATAGACGTGCAGGTGAGCACCACCCTGAGGGCCATGCATAAACCCTGCTGGAGCCCAGATCCTGACCGAAGTCTTCCTCGCCAGGTGGGCTTGCTGTATGAAGAGGGCGTGAGGAAAGCCCACAGCAGCGACTCTAGCAAGAGGACCTTCTCCGTCTACAGCAGCTCCAGGCAGCAGGTCCGCTACGCCCCCAGTTATACTCCCAGGTAAGGCGTCCCTAAAGGTGGTAGATACCAAAATGCAAAGAAATGGGGGGTGTTTATGATGTAAGACCTGCCAGTGAATTATCAATGTTATTGAAGACTAGCTGTAATGATTTATTGTTTGAGTAATGGATTTAATCTCACCATTAAGTGCTGGCATTAAAAGCCAGTTCAACCGGTGGCCGTTGAAGATGGGAATTGGCCACATTTCATGGAGCATGTCACGACTGTAGGACATTTGTCACCGATCCATTAACGTTTGTATAGCGTCAATATTTACGTGGGGCTCGTTGGTTTCCGTGGTTTCCTACAGCGCTCCTATGGACACCAACCTGCTGAGTAACATTCACAAGCTCTTCTCGGAGAGGATCGACATCTTCAGCCCTGTGGAGTTCAACAAGGTAAGGTCACCTGCCAGCTAAATTCGGTCACGCTCATTCAACAGGAAGTGCAATGTTTTTTCAGTTGTTTTGATATGTTTTGATATCACCTACTAAGTGTCCTACTTAGGGCGCTTCTGTCGAAGCATTGAAATGTTGACCTCCTCCTGCTTCAGGTGTCGGTGCTGACAGGCATCATAAAGATCAGCCTGAAGACGTTCCTGGAGTGTGTGCGTCTGCGCACCTTCGGCCGTTACGGCCTGCAGCAGATCCAGGTGGACTGCCACTACCTGCAGATGTATCTGTGGCGGTTTGTGTCCGACGAGAACCTGGTACATTTCCTGCTGGACGAGATCGTGGGCAGTGCAGCCCATCGGTGCCTGGACCCCGCACCCATGGAGCAGAGTGTCATCGAGGTCATCTGCGAGAGGGGTTAGCCCTGCGGTGGACTGGGAGGGGTTAACAGTCTTAAAGATTTATCACTAATTGTGCCTAGATGGCTTAGGGGATGTTTGGGGAACCTTAAATTGTGTCTGCAGTGTTATAAGGACAAAAAAAACAAGGCAAAATATTTGATCAAAAGCTGAATGTGTGGAATAATTGTCTTCTGCTGGCGAATGAGGTCACTACTGGATTTTTTTGGGAGAGTTTGAAGGCAGCTCATTTACGGCAGGGGCAAAAAGAGCCGTCAGTTAAAACTTCGCTGGTGTGAAGTGTAAGGCTATAATATTCTTGGGAAACATCCCAAAAACGAAAGCATCATGCAGCCTGTCAGTAAACATTAATTCGTTTTTCCTTTGCACATTACTCTTCTAAATGCTTATATAATATATATATATATTAGTAATCGATCCAATGATGACGTGATTGTGTTGCAGTTGTATTTAAAAAAAAATAAAAGTCTTAAATACTTGATGCTTTGTGCTTCATTGTTTTGCTGCGGTGTAAGTTGTTACGTGGTGCGGGATAAGAGACAAACCAAGCCACAGTAAGGCGACGCGAGAAAGTGACAGAGCGGAGATGCCCTGCATTACACTGCGAAACGCCCCTTCGCTTCGGAGCCGCAGTGCCGTCAATCGATCGAGCAGACTGAATTTTGATTGGTCGGCGCTTCCCCTTCCCATCGTCATCTCATGACCGAGCTCAGACGCTATTGGCTCAGCTCCGTCTTATGCATGATAGGCAGTCGTAAGGGCGGTACTGCGCATGCTTCACTGTCAGCTGTATTATGTTGCTTGGACTTTTAATACCTGTCATATAGTAGAAATAAGGTGAGTAGCACGTCGTTTGAACTACTTATCCAGGTTACACCGCGTTTAACCTACATATTTCATTGAAACTATTTTAATATAAACATTTCGACGTGCTAATTAACTGTAATTCCGTTTTGAATTACTGTGGTTTTCTTACTAAAAGACCCATCGCTATTGTTCTATTTCAGTCTTGGGTGTCTGACACATTTATTGACATGTTTTCGCTTAAAATTAAGCATGTGCTGTTTTAACGGGTATATTTAAATGTTTTACTCATTTATTTAAAAGAGTGCTCTGAAGTGTGGGGGATTTGTTTTGGTTGACAACCAGATTCACAAAATAATGAAATGTACTTAAAATATTAAGTTCATTATTGCGCCCCTTGGTTTATTATTCGAAGTGAGATTTTTTTCTTGCGTGTTTTTAATAAGTGAAATGAAGCCGGACAAACGCAGATGCGCATCCTCGAAGGACAGGGAATTCGGTGGGACCTTAGGTAAGGGTTTGGAAAAGCGCACGTTTGTGTGGAAAAGCGCATGTTTGTGTGGAAAAGCGCATGTTTGTGTAATGCGCGCTGTAGTGGCTCTGACCTATGAAACATTGCATCTGTGTATATTTATTTGTGTTTTTAGAAAACCCTTTTGTTCCCTTATCTCTGCGCGTTTGCCCCTAACTCTGTAGCTGGCTTGTTCCCTTCTTGTGCCCCGTCCCCAGGCGCCACCTGTATCCCCGTCTTCCTGCCGCTGACCGTGCTTTACCTGCTGTCCGTCAGCCGCACCCCCGGTGCTGCCCTGCTCCAGTGGCCCCCTCCCCTGCCTCCCGCCTCCCAGCTGTGGGACCCCGTGGCTGCTGCTCTAGTGCTGGGGTGGTTGACCCTGCAGATCGTCCTCTATCTGCTCCCCGTGGGAAAGGTGAGAGGGCCCACTCAAACTACCAGCTATATGCAGCAGATGTAAACATTATTAGCTTAGTTTAGTTTAGCAACGAATACGTAAACTTTTTTTTTTCTTAATAGTTCGTCCTATTTGCCCTGAAAGCCTTGGACAGATTATCCAATTACACTCTTCTTAATTGCACGTAACTTTCCAGTGATGGTACATTTGTGTCTGTCATTGGAGCTTAATCCTGGTCTTGAAAAGCTTCAGAGTGTAGTGGTTTTTGAGCTGTGCGTGAAATTCTAAACCTTAGTATTGTTTTCAGCACAAAAACACATGATTGTTCAGTATTTAAAAAGTCGTATATTATATCCATGCACTTCTGTTCACCCAGACTGTCATTTCAAAGGACAACATTCCAAAGGACTAAGGTCCCAGCCTGGGTATAGTGTGTGGCTCTGTGAGTTAAGACACTTTCCCCATGATCAGAAGGTTGTTAGTTCAAGTCCCAGGGCTAGTTGTTTGAGACAAGGCCCTTACGTCTTGGTTACAAGGGTGCTGCATGCTAACTGACCCTGTCCTTTGACAACCCCAAGTTTGCTCTCACCTGAATGTGTGTCTCCCAGAGAGCAGGGAGTAGGTGAAAACACAACATTCCCATGGAGATGAATGAAGTATTACTCTACTATTCTATATTCTGTCTGTCTGGTCAGGTTGCTGAAGGAATGGTGCTCAGAGATGGGACCAAACTCAGATATCCTATCAATGGTATGCAGGGGTTGGACAGCTGAATGTACTGGGGGGGGGGGCATGCTACAGGGCAGAATAAATGGGTGTGAAAATTAAACCAGTTTAATTGTGGGGACAAAAAATGCACCGGCAGTAAAATGTGTTGTTTTAGCCCGGAGAAATGGAAAATTTAAAAATGTACCTGTATCTAACCTTTATTGTTTAGGGTATTCTTCACTTTTAAATATCAGTCACTGATAAAACTTTCGGCGAATCCTTTTAAAAAAGATTTCTTACCTCTCTGTCTTTCTCCACCTATCAGGTTTTCACGCACTGTGCATCAGCGCCGCCCTGCTGGCCTTGTCTGTGTGGTTAGGCATGCCTTTGGGGTATCTGTTTGAGCTGTTGATGCCTCTAGCAACATGTGCAATGGGCCTGTCATTCCTGCTCTCCCTGTATCTCTACATACGTTCATTCTGGGCGCCCAAACATGCCCTGGCTGTAGGGGGCAATACAGGTATGGGGGCAAATTACAGCAGTGGTTGCCTTGGTAACTCAGTTCTTCATTATGAATGGAATTTAACAATATGTTACCTAATTACGCACAAAATACTAGGAATTGGACATAGCCATTAAAATGGATCGGTTTTCTGTCACTCTAAATGAGTTTTGTAACGTTATTAGATTGTGAAGTGTACAATGTTTTTGTGTCTTGTCGTCTTCCTTAGGTAACCCTCTCTACGACTTTTTTATGGGACGTGAGCTGAACCCACGAATCGGAAGCTTTGACCTCAAGTATTTCTGTGAGCTTCGGCCTGGTCTCATTGGGTGGGTGAGTATATTTATTGCAGAATATTTAGTGAAATAATTTTTCCTTCAGTAAAAAGTTTAGTACCGCTAATCTAGCTGTATCGGATACATTAGAGCAGTGTTTTCCAATCCGGTCCCCTAGGACTGGATTGGGAAATACTGCATTAGAGTGTAGGAGTGTTTTTCTTCATCTATAGGGAAATAATGATTAATCTTAAAGGTGCTAATTAGTCCCTTTAATTAGGTTGTCATAAACCTGGGTATGCTAATGAAGGAGGTGGAGCTACGAGACTCCCCTTCCCTTGCCATGCTATTGGTCAATGGCTTCCAGTTGCTTTACGTGGCCGACGCCCTGTGGAATGAGGTGAGTAACTGGGCGGGAGCCAGGAACAGAGAGTCTGATGAATGTGACGAGTGAGAAACTTCAAGGTTAAATATAGGAGAGGGAAAGGAAATGGTGAAATTAAGCAGGGCAGCAGGACACTAATATTTAGGCTTGTTTTGTTGTCTCCTGTCCCTTTTGTTGATGGGAGGGGCTTCTTTGAGGTAGCTGCTTAACCTGAATTCCTCTAGTCATGTCCAGCTGTATGAGTGGATAAAATTATAGTTCTTTGTGGATGAAAGTGGTAGCCAAGCAGGTATATATGAAAGTAAAAATTTCACAAGAACCAGCAGTGTTTGTGGGCCTTTGATTTCAGTCAATGTGCCCTCATGGATCATTGTCAAGGATAGTCCGCCACCTAGTGGTCACATATGATATTCCATATGTCTATTTTTGATCTTTGAAATGCGCCCAAATCACCGTGAAACGTCACGCGTGCCCTTGCCGGGTTTTCCAGGAGGCCCTGCTGACCACCATGGACATCGTGCACGACGGCTTTGGCTTCATGCTGGCCTTCGGGGACCTGACCTGGGTTCCGTTTACCTACAGCCTGCAGGCTAACTTCCTGGTGGTGCACCCTCAGCCGCTGGGCCCCGTCGGCGCCGCCGCCATCGTCTTGCTGAACGGTACCGTGGTATTTACAGGCACTGTTCAGTAAACACACTACAAAGCTTTGAACTCTCAGATCTGTCTCCTCAAGCTGTCCAGTCAAATCATTCACCACTATGGTACCTTTCCATAATGGCCTCATAAGCAGAACTGGGTAATTCAGGTCCAGAGAGTAAAACTCCAGACCGGGATTTTGTTTCAACCAACCAGTTGAATACTCTGTGACTCTTTATACTCAATTGGTTGGTTGAAACAAAATCCTGGTCTGGACTTTTACTCTCTGGACCTGAATTACCCAACTCTGCTCATAAGCGACACTGTAGTCTTCACCCTTATTGGTGCATTGCGTCATGCCTAATCTAACTTTCCCTACCTCTTCTAGGCATGGGGTATTTTATCTTTCGCCAGTCCAACTCACAGAAGAACCAGTTTCGACGGGACCCCACTCATCCCAGCGTAGCAGGTCAGCGTTCGAGTCCAGCTACAGTTTATGTCCTCATAAGCATATTCTGAGAGGCACCAAAATATACTGGCTTAACTGGTCTGTATCGTAACTGGTCTGTATCTTAACAACCGTTTACCTTCTTCATTCGCTCTTCGTTCGTATAGGTTTGGAGACGATTCCCACGGCAACGGGGAAGCGCCTTCTAGTGTCTGGTTGGTGGGGGCTTGTCCGACACCCCAATTACCTGGGAGACCTGCTCATGGCCACAGCCTGGTCCCTCCCCTGTGGTGAGTTAGGGGAACAGCAGCCCCATCCAAAACACCCTTTCAAGTTCTAAGTAGCTATGGACCGAACAGTCAGGGGACCATGTGACTAATGTCGTATTGCTGTATCCAGATGATGGCATAGATGTATAACCTGTCGTATGGGGTGGCCAGAATAGACCCAATGACTTTACTGGGGTGGCAAGTAGGGTGACCACCTAATCCATGTCAGGAGGGACACTATGAGCTACCACAGGGTCTATAAACTACCATTTCAACCTTTTCATTTAAAAAGACCCGGATTTCAGTTAAGCAGAGTTCCTGCCGTGTGCTGATTGGTCAGTCTCCTATAATCAGGCATGTGTCACTAATGTTAATGTGGAACAGCTGGATGAGTCTTTAAATCAAGGATACAAACGAGTAAAAGTACAAGACGGACCAAACAATTTAGCCGAGCATGGGAGCCTTTCAGGTTTAAGGTAGTTTGTAAAACCTGAAGTAGCTCAGTGTCCCTCCTGACATAGATTAGGTAGTCACCGGTAATATTTCACCACTGGGTGGGGTTTCCCTTGGTACAATTTGTATATTTTGCTGATTGATTCATTAATCATTATTCATTAATCATCTCACAATCGAGTTGGGGACACACCACAATCAACTGGTCAATGGGCTGAGTAGCTCTGGTTGTTTAGCAGTGTGTCTCAAACCAGTCCCAGGGGGCCCCCAGACGGCCCATGCTTTTGCTCTCCCCCAGTTTCCTGGGAGTTCGGATGGAGCAGAAACATGGCCTGTCTGGGGGATCCCTGAGGACTGGATTGAGACACACTGGTTTAGTGGAATTAAGAGTAAGAAGCCTGATCTGGTCCCACCAGAAATAAAAGCAGCTTCTACTCATTTCATGCAGGCGCCTCACACACTCTCCCTTACTTCTACGTTCTGTACTTCACCGTCCTGCTCATCCACCGGGAGGCTCGGGACGAGAGGCAATGCAGGAGCAAGTACGGCCTGGCCTGGGACACCTACTGCCGCAGAGTGCCCTACAGGATCGTCCCTTACATCTACTGACCCCCCCCCCCAGGGCATCGTAAGCCACCAGGACCCGGGGGGTAGCACCAATCATCAATCACGAGTAAACCATCCCGGAAGGTCGGGTGGAGAATGAGGTCATGCGGCAGTCAAAGCTGCTTCTACTCTAAAGGGAAACCATGCAGACATAGACGAACAAGCTGGCTGTCAAAGGTGGAGAGTTCAGGTCCAGAAAGTAAAAATCCAGACCACCTGATGCTGCCTCTTTACCCGTCGTCTGCACTAAACGGGTTTTTAAGCATGAAGTAGACGGAAATTAAGGGTAATTTATGAGTTCTGCAGAGATGATATTTTAATATATTTCATTTTAAAAATACAATGAGACCATGTTTTTTTTTTTGACACATGAGAGAAAGTATTAACATGCCTTGATACTTCCAGTGAATGTTCAGCTTCCCATAAAAGGCTGACCAGTTCTTTGGACATTTAAGTGTTTGGTAAAAAGTTTTTCGTTTGTGCCATATTAGTTAACAGATGTACATCTTCAATTCGCCCTTTCTAAACTGAGATTACATACAGAAGTCATGCAAACGTTGTGCTTCGTATGGACCCTGAAGTTAAAACCATCAGGTAAATTCAGTTCGTAATAAATCAGAAAATCAAGAAACTGACGGCACCGTTCATGAGCTATTTTAATGTCCATATACTGCGAATGAATCTTGATCGTCATGAATTAATCAAGCTCTACAATCATCGCCCCCTTCTTCCGGCCCTGTCCTTTGCTCCACCTGTTCTCTACCTCCGTTTTCTCCTTCTCCAGAGTCTCCCTCTCCCCCTCGCTCCTGCTAAGCTCCGCCCACACTGCCCGGGCCAGAGCTGTCACTTCCTGACCATCCTCTTTGACCCAGGCCTGCAAAAACTCGCATTTCTTTCCTGCAGCGAAATACTTCCTCCTGGTTTGGCCGTTGTCGCCCTCCTTGGACAGAGCCCCCCTGGCCTTCGTTAAAGTCACACGTAGCTGAGACAGCGCGGCTAAGGAGTATCCGATTGGGTCTTGCTTGCTCCTCCCAGTCAGAATGTGGGCCACAGCCTCCGTCGTCTTGGCTGCGGTTGCCGTGTCGCCCCGTTCTGCGTACCCACCCTCCACCACGGCGGCGGCGCCCCCATCCAGGGCCTCCCGTAGGGAGCCAAAGACCCGGTTAGAGCTCAGAGACTCAGAAACAGCCAGCGCCACTTGGCAGAACTCCTGGACTAGGTCAGACTCCGAGAGATCCCCATTGAAGAGGCACAGGGAGAAGGTGTAGCCGTATAGGGCGTTGACCAAGCTGTAGCGCACCAACGGAGAGGCATTAGAGGACAGGGAGCGCAGAGGCGGGATCTTCTTGCTCACAGGGGGGACGCCGTCCGTGTTGGGGCTGTGCGTCCTCTTACGGCCCGGTACCGCTGAAGGTCTGGTCCCCTCAGCATCTCGCCTCTCTGAAACGCTCTTGGTCCTATCCGTCTCATTAGCATTGTCCGTCTCCATCTCGTCTTCATTTAAAGCAGGCTTGCATCTCACCTTGCTTTTTATCTTCTCCCTTGCGCTCCTCTTTTTTCCCTCCGCCTCTCCCTGTAGCACTTCTAAGCTGTCAGCTCCTCCTTCCCTCACTACAGTGTTGCCCTGCTCCACGGTCTCACTCTGCGCCTCCTGCTCTATAACATCTCCCAGCACCTCCATCAGGGCCCCCTTCCCCTGCTCATGCGTCTCCCACCAGGGCCTCCACAGGGGCACCAGGCCCCCGATGGCTCCCCCTTTCACCAGCTCCTTAAACTTCTCCTTATCCTGCTGGGGCAACAGAGTCCACAGCTGCTCCTCTGAGAGAGAGTCCAGATCCAACCCTGACAGCCTGTCTGCTAAATCCTCTTCCCTCTCTTCATCACCTTCCTCTACATCTTCTTTTCCTGCAGTAATCTCTTCTGCCTGCTCCCTTGCCACACCACCCTCCCCAAAGTCCCTGAGATTATTTAATATAGCCTCTATCTCCTCTGCGTTCCCCGCCCCTGATGCCTGAATCTCTGCCAGCCGTGACAGATGATCCAGAATTTGTCGGTTATCTTCTGCACCTCCATGTCCTTCCTCCTCCAGCTCCTTCAGCATCTGTTCCATCTCTCCTTCTTCTTCATTCTCCCTTTCTCTCAGCCTCAGCAAGATCTCCTGCATCTGTCTCCTCCCTTCCTGTTCTGTACTCCCCGTCCTCTTCAGCTCCTGCATGACGGACTCCTTGTAGAACTCCTCAGAGCAGACGGAGTGGGTGGGGCTTCTATAGCACGCCACGCTGCAGTAGGGCACGTTACATCGCGGGCAGGTATAACGCAGAGGTTCTTTTAAACACAGTCCGCACATTCTATCCGGCATTCCCGAATCACTGTCCTTCATTTCACCTGCCTCTGTCCTGCCAGCAGGTGCCAAAAGTTCCCCAGGCTTGGTAGTCCCTCTCCTGGGCAGCGAAATCCCGTCTCTGTCAACTGGGTCCACCTCCTCCTCCTCATCTTCTGCACTCCAGTACCGATGCTCGCCTTTAGGTTCAATGTCCGTCAGCAGGGTTCTCACACAAGCCGGCATTCCCCTCCTCAGCACAGGGTTCATGTTGGGGTGATTTGGCCACATCGGCCGTTGCTCAAAGGATCTAAAATTTTGATAAAAGGCAAAGAATATAGTTAACAGTTAGTGAACTAGCGAGCCACCGTAGTTAACTATTGTGAGCACGTATGTACAAAAGAAATATGACGCGCAAACGTGTTTGGGGCGAGAATGTAAATACCATATAAAGTCTGAGATTATGATTAAAGGTCATTAAGCGAATACATATATACAATCACATTCAACAGAACTCTGAAAGAGTTTAACGTGGTTAGATTCTGAAGACATACAACTACTGCTAACACGCAGCCACAGTATAATGAGTATTCGTTTTTGCCACAGTACGCATTTAAAGTCGCTGCAATTTTTAACGTCGGATTTTAATGTAGATATACGGTAGCCATTATGACATTATTATTACTGTTCTTTTAATCGTTTAAGTAAGCTAACGACGTTAACATGTTAACCCTGATGCATCAATTTACCAACCAGCTAACTGCTAGCTAAGAAAACGAACCTCACTCTGGCCATTATATGCAGTTCCAGGCTATTACAATGTCAAGTCGCAATTAATAAAACAAACTAAACTTTGGTATTTTGTGCAGATTATAATTGAAATATTTTATACAGTACTTACAACGACTAATCTCGACTTTATGTCGGTACGGCATATACGGCCATGTGCATAAACTGTCGTAAAAAAATACTGTCGTAAAAACGTGTCAGTCGCGTCCCAATATTATCAGCACGCTGCATACTCCATCCCACTCTCACTACAGAGACTTAATTGGCTTGCTTACCAGCCTTGTGAAATTGCTAACGCCAGTAACGAATGCAACGGCGTTGGCTGTTTTGAAAACAAAAAATACGTGATAAATCTACTCTGAAACTCTAGTGCGTATAATTTGGTGCGGAACATTTGCATTTACGAGAACTTCGTCATCAGCCATAAAATCTCGTTCTCACCACGTTTGTTTTTGTTTCTTTATTGGTGTTTTACTAAGGTAGTGTCCCTGTGCCCTTTCTGTTTACAATGGGGGGTTTTCCTTTGCACATGTGCACTTAGCATATTCATTTTTATTTAGCAGGCATCCATCCATCCATTTTTTGTAACCACTTGTCCAATTTGGGGTCATGTCAACGCAGGGAACAACCCAGGATGGAGTGCCAACCCATCGCAGGGCACACACACATGCATACCAATAGCCAGTTTTGCAACTCTGATTAGGCTCAGCATGTTTTTAGGGCACAACTGGAGTACCTGGCGGAAACCCAATGACAACAGATAGAACATGCAAGCTGCACACATATGGAGCCATGGCAGAGGCTCAGACAGTGGTCTTATAGGTCTGTGTAGGTTCTCAGTCGTCCATGACATAATCTTAAGGGCTTGAATGGAAGGCAACTGGACTTCTTTTTCAATTTCTTGAAGACGTTCCACCTCTCATCCAAATAGTGGAGGTAAAGATTTTGCTCCAGGTGTGAATCCAATCCTCTATCTCTGCATTGATCTGCTCATACTGATGTTATAAAAACTACACACTAACCACTTGCAGCACTAGAGGTGATAACGATCTCCACACTTGTAGTCAAAAGGTTGTCAGCACTCCGAATTTCGTTCCATTTACTCCATTTTACAGACAGATTCATGACAGGAGAATCTGCTGGTCACATTCCTGGAGGTTGTGGCATCCTTTGAAACGTGATACATAAGCATCCATTAGAAGGTAAGTTTTATGCAAGAGATTATTAAAATACCATCTCAAAGATATAACAACTCTGCTTAACTTGTATGAGGTGTAAAATCCAGCCATAATGGAACAAACCTGTAATGAGCAGGGTCGGGGCCATTCCGGAATGCATTCGTCAATTCCAATCCAAATCAGGAAATGGAACTAGAGTAAGAATTTAAATCCCCCTGAAATTCAAATTCAATTCCAATTCTGATCCCCATGATTTTTTTCCCACAACTCCAGTTCCATTTCCTGATTTGGACTGTTGATGAATGCATTCCGGAATGGCCCCAACCCTGGAAATGAGTCCGATGCACTTATGTTTAAGACTTGAAATGTAACCCCAGGTTTCTCAAGTAATATACCCCTGTGCTCAAGTAATATAAAGCAGCAGAGATTTTCAAGCCAAAGTACAGTGCCCCCCTCCCCCAGGATGAAATGTGATTATTCCATCTCTGCAGGACATCTCATCACTCAGTCTACACTGGAATCTTCAAGTGCTCACTGTTTGAGCCATTGAGGAATTTAACATTATCCACACTAATCAGTCTTACAACTTAAATTTGGGGGGAACAAAATCACCCAAATGTGCTGGTAACACTCCAGATTTAAAAAGGCTTGTTTTAATCAAGCAATAAGCTTTTCCAGAAATGATAAACACAGTATTATTATTTACAAAAAAAAGTCCCATAAGAATTTTCATTCGTCTTCTGCATCTTCAGAAATGCTGTCCTCAGAACCCTTTCTCCAACAACCATTCCTTCAGCTCCTTGTCAAAGTGTCCTTTGATCCGAATGCTCATGGTGACCTCGTTGACTTGCGTGAGCGGGATTTTGCCAGTCAGCTGTACCAGATACTCCTTAACATCATTCTCCAAGGCCTGTCCAATCAAGACGAAAACCCTTCAATTAACATCCATGAAAGAGCTGCAGCAATTCAGTTTCTAAAAAGATAGTACGATTGTCCAGCCCAACTTGAGGGCGGAAGGTCTAATTTGAGAAATAAGGCTACAAATTCAGATGATTCACCAACCAATGTCTTATCTCATTATTTTTATGTTCTATCCAAAAGCAATGATGCTGCATTATTTAAGTTTGCAGTCCTAGCAATGTTTTGAATAACAGTTCATGAGATCAAATATAAACATTTTCCATACTCTGCATTTAATCAAGTCTAATGATGACAAAACTTTCAATCGCAAAACATAATTTGGTCATTTATTGAGAGAGGCCAGCACTGTCTGGGAAACAGAGCAGAGCAGTTGTTCTACTTGCCCAGATGTCGCCCTCAATCTTGCGCAGCAGCGTTGTCTTCCGGTTGCCATGCGTGAGGTCTGTGTAGACCGGCACATTGTGCAGGCGGGAGCGGCGGACCATGTAAGGCAGATCTGGAGTAACTGCTGGAGATGAAAAATGTGAAATGTAATGACATGTTTTATATGGCAGTCTATTCGCCAGATCCTTCAACCAATCTTTACCTGATGGAGGCCTCCATCCAGAGGGGGCGGGGCCATCATGAAGAGGTGGAGTCGGAATCTTAGTGGGCGGGATCAGTCGCTCTACATATTTGTATTCCTCTGTTGACTCCACAACTGCACATTTTTGTTCCGCAGTACTGCTGCTAGCCATCTGATTTCCAAGACAGAATGAAAACAACAATGCTCAAACTTTACATCACAATGGTTTTTGCTACCAAAAAGTATGAACGACAGAGAAAATTATTTTTTTAAGGGGAAAATTGGTCTGCGGGAGATCTTATTCTAGAGTTAATTTTGCACACAAGCAGAAAAGTGATTGGTTTAATACACTCTGAACGCACACTAATATCTGGACTGTCTCTCTTTAAATTCCTCTAAACTGCATATACAAACTACGTGTATGTTAAGTGTACTCTTATCATCACTCTTTGTACATGTATGAAGCTGCTGATGACAAAGTAACTTTGAACACACATCATTAATCCATATATTATAATTAACCCATACATTAAAACCTCGAATTGTAAAAACAGGTGACTCACAAACTGTACTAATTTAAAACTGATTTAAACGGAGAACAGGTCAGGACCCAATCTCACGTCCATATAAGTAGTCAAAAAGCAAAAATTCCTTAAGCACTGTACTCTTCTTGATCATCTCAGTCATCTGTATTTTCATTCAGATAATGTACTACGTAGTGTACATTTAAGAGCAGTTTGGAGACACACACAAACATTCCTGTCATTCTCATGCACTCAAATAGCAATACACGCCGATGTGCAATCAGGTATCTCTTTAGGTATGTTGTGTGGATGATTAAGAATTACGGCATCCAAAAGTGTAGTGGTTTTCCTACACTTGTTACTTTACATCACATACAACCTGCAAATCCACATTAGCATTTTTACCTACTTAGCCTACTAAAGTTACATTCCTTATAATGACAATTAAAGGATGTCTTCCTCAGTCACTCACCCGTAAGCGCCCCATCGCACTCGGTACAACGCCAACGGGGCTTAACCACACGTAAGCTGGTTTGATCGTCGCACACATTCGTGTGAGCATGTTTACTACAGACGCCGACATGTTGGACCCCAAACACCGAGCAGGAAGGTCACGAGGCGGGCCCATAGAGGGCGGGCCTCTCAGTTTCGCTCAACTTTATTGACACTCCAACTGAGGACAGTTACAATCTGCTTTCAAAGGTTCTGTGTTTCTAATATTTGTGTATTCATCACGCTGACAGTGTAATGTAGCCTCAAATCAACGCAATTATTTACATTCTTAATTCTAAATGAACATTTATATTCATAATTCCATGTCATGAAATAATCAGGTATTTCCCCGGTTTTGCGCATGCGCCTGGCTGCCGTCGGCCTTTTCGATCCTCCGTCTACGGCGACAAGTTGGCGAGTGAGTGCGGCCTCGTGTTCTGGATGAAATTATATAATTACAGGGAGAAACACTGCATTATACTATAACAAAAAAGCTCTCACATCAAATTATTGTTGTAATACACCCGAAACCCTAAGAGGAAAGTCCCTAATATGTACTTATAATAGGTACTTAGCAGTTTAGCATTGCTAGCTGTCGGCCATATGCGGTGCGCCGGCGATAGATAAATTTATACACTGTTATTATTTTGCACAAAGGATAAAAGAAAACGCATACCAAACCACTTTCCATGTAGAAGTCATGCTATTGATGACTTTTCTTAAAGTTTTGGTAAGAGGTTGATAGCTTTTAGCGCCTTGTATAACATTAGTTTTAGCCACAACTGTACTTGTGCTGTTAACTGTAGTTTAATTATATTTTGGCATTTTTCTTACATATAGTTTACAGAATTAATGACTTGTCCGCCAGTGCATATTTTTAGTTGATTTTATTCCATTGTGAAATGGTTGTATACCTGTCAAATAAGTGCTTAAGTAGTCATCTTTGTAACTCGGCCGATGTTACCCACCTGTAATTATTTGATTGTATTTTAAGTATATGGCACTGAAAAGTAATGGCAAAAACACATGTTCAGCCATGGAAAATACTTGTACTCACTGGTAGCAAAGATAAGCAAATGTTGCAAAATCAATAACTTATAATGATTACACTATGATTAGTGTATCTGTGTTAAATAACATTTAGAAGTCATTAATGTTGCTTTTTTTCCACCTGTATGTGTCAACATGCTGTTTCTAACCACTCAGGTCGACAATGCAGCTGTTCGTACAGTCTCAGAGCTTGCACACCCTAGAGGTGTCTGATAAGCAGACCGTCGCTCACATCAAGGTACCTTCTGCATAAACTTGTGGTTTTAAATCATGGAAAGTAATTCGTTGGATAGCAACAAATTTATGATGCATTTTTCACTTGCTTGTGTTTATAAATTGGTGTGTGTGTGTGTGTATGTTATGTTATGTTATGGTTGTAGTACCAATGGTGTTTGAATCTGATTATTTTTATGAAATGGACAAATTTATTTTAAAAAAATACAAATAGAATTTCAGTTAATCAGTGTATTATAGTGTTTGCTTTTAATTACTAATCAAGCACCAGTAAAAATGTTTGCAATCCAAGTAAAGTTCAGATGTAATCCTCAGAAATCTTGGAAATCATGCTATTGATTTTGCCTTCAATAATAAATCTAGTTTTCCCCACTGCCCAGTTTGGTCAGGGCTGGTCACTTTCAGTTCTGATTGGTTTAATGCATAGTGATGATCCATTAGTGAAGTCTGCTGTTTGGGTGACATTTGTTTTTTTTCCCAGGCTCAAATTGAGGCTTTGGAGGGTGTGGCCTGTGCAGATCAGGTGATTTCGCTGGGTGGGGCTCCTCTGCAGGATGACGATCTGATTGGTCAGGTCTGCCTTGAGGAGTTCAGCACTCTTGAGGTCACTCTCCGCTTGCTGGGAGGTGAGCTGTCACTTATCATAACATACTCCTTAGGCACAAGCCCCTCATTGTGACATTGTTTCCTGTCCTAATTGCATCCAATTGTCCTCATTGTGGGCAGTGGTGGCTTAATGGTTAGGGAAGTGCACTTGTAATTGAAAGATTGCTGGTTCAAATCCCCAACCAGCAAGGTACCACTGAGGTACCCTGAGCAAGGTACTGCCCCCAAGCACTGCTCCCTGGGTGCTGAATTAGCTGCCCCCTGCTATGTCACAATGTCACATATGGGTCAAATGCAGAGGACACGTTTCGTTGTTGTGCACTGTGGTGTGTCAACAATGATCACTGATCTCTAAATTCTAATGTATTTATTTTGTATCCATATTGGAATGCAGATTTTTTTATACACAATAATTATATGAATATGAATACCACACATAAAAAATTCTACGTAAGTTGCATAAAAACATTTAAAGCACAGTTCTGAATTAGATCAGAGGGTTTAAAACATCACTGCACTGCATGATGAAGACAGGGACTACAGACTGTTTTGCAGAATGACTTTGCTTCTTTGCATATTTCCTATTTGACACTACACTGAGGCGAGTGACGGTTTCTGTCAAGTCCTGTGTCTCTTATTCTCCCATCTCCTATTATCTCTCAGGTAAGGTCCACGGATCTCTGGCCAGAGCTGGGAAAGTCAGAGGACAGACCCCTAAGGTGAGGCTCGACTAAGAAAAGGTGTAGAAACTCAGGAAATGAAATAGCCTTTTTTCAGTCAATCCAAACCAGAAATTCACAGCATATTTACTTGTAGCTTGTAAAGAAAATAACAAACACGATTGACAATAAATTGAGGGGGTGTCATTTTATTAGTACAGAGGATGTCGTCAGGCAGACGGCAGGGATCTGGCCGACTCTCATTCCTACTTCCTCCTTTAGGTCGACAAGCAGGAGAAGAAGAAGAAGAAGACGGGCCGAGCGAAGAGGAGGATCCAGTACAACCGGCGCTTCGTCAACGTGGTGCCGACCTTCGGCAAAAAGAAGGGCCCCAACTCCAACTCGTAAATGAGGGCTCCTGCCGCCCATCGGGCACCAGGGCGTGTAGCATGTACTGCGCCATACGGCCTGCTGGGGGCTTAGCGGAACACAGCCGTGTCATGCTGGACTGTCCAGTACTTAAGTGTGGTTTGGTGCAATAAACACGCTACAGAAAGATAACCAAAGGATTCATTTACTCTGTCATATTTACAAGAATGTACAAGTTTCATCTCTTAGCCTAGCAGTCACCTTCCATTCCAGTATTCTAAAATGAATAAAAGTGTTTCAGCCAGGACTTTAAATACTTTAATACTCTATAAACGGTAAAACTGAATCGAAATGGCCTTCCTGCTGAACTCCAAACCAACCTGCTTAACCCGAGTTGCATTATCACAATTTGTCATGCATGTCCTTTTAGCTAAAAGTGTCTTAACTTGCAAGTAACAGTAGTTACAATTGGTTTTAAACTGACAATATTTCACAGTATTTCGTTAATGCATTCTGTGCAAACATTGAGCAGAAGTGTTCCTAAATGTTTACAGGCCCAGATTCTGTTGCTCGTGTTCTCCAAAGCGAACAAAACTGAAAAACATAATTAACCCTCAATTTTATAAGAAAAACATTTCATGCCAAACATCTTTCCGAAGTTGTAACATTCCAGACAATTGGAATGAGCAATTTTATTAAAGGATCTCAAACTTAATTCCTGATATGTAGGAAATAATGCAGTGTGATCCCACAGGATTGGAGGCACAAATTATTTGCACACAAAGGTTCCACTGAATGATGAGCATTCTCAAAACCGTACAGCTAGATTTACAGCCATACTGATTGTCAGGCTTTGTTTGGTTAAGATTTCAATTAAAAACGCCAGATGCTGAACAATGTCCATAAACGACACTTTAATCAGCAAAAAGTGTACAAACTGTTGAAGCTTGAATTTCCAGGGCTTTGTTGGCACATCCTGGAAACATGGGAAGGGCGGCTTAATTTGACGACCAGGACGCAGTCTTTATGCCTTCCTGCCTGCCTTCCCCACTGGGTCGACAATCAGGACGACACCCCAGGAGGCCAGACCTGTCAGGTAGGAAATTACCGATTACTGTCTGCGTAAGTGGCTCCATAAAAAAAAAAGTCAAAGCTATACGAATTTCGCACAGGTGAAACACGTGCGTAATGCGTAACAATGACAGGCCCCGTAAGAAAAGACAATCTTATTACCAAAATCCGGCTTTACAGAAACAGAAATCGGTGCTACTATGATGCAAAACGAGATAGGAGCAGATGCAGACTCACAAGCAGCGAAGACAATCTGAGCCACGGTTCCCATTGAGGCCGGTCCTCCTTGGCGCGTTACTCGCCGGGCGGCCTGAAACACGTATCCCCCAGCCAGCAGCAGACCGCCACCGGAGAGCAGCCGACAGCCCCAGCAGTTACCGAAAAGCTGGTCTTTTGGAGGAGACGCGGGAGCTCGGACTTCATCAGAACTCGCTGACATTATCACATAACGATTCCCCTACTTTTTGGAAATATAACTTGGCCAAATCTATGCGGCCATTGACAGTCGTTAACAAAGGGTTCCCCGAAACCTTCTGCAGTCTGTCACTTGAACAGTCCACGTCCCTGCTGCATAAATATATACAAGTTTTTCATTTAAACATATGAAGCGCGTTTAGATTCGACCTTTTGCCTCTTCTTCGCCTCGTTTACGGAATCACACGAGCGCAATACTGCCCCCTACAGCAGTGGAGGAGGAATCAGCAAACTGAAAATAAAGCAAGGACACTACCTGCCAAAAATTAATTTACACAAATACTTAAGAAAACGCAAATTGCGAAGCCTAAAATGATAGCTTAAGCGTACAAACGATTCAGTTCAATTAAAATTGCGCAATGCATTTTAATTTCAGAAAATCTCTCAACAAAGGACAATACTTATAAACTCCGGACAAAGCATGATTCGCTCATTTATAACATAAAAAACTATATATTTCACAAAATACACAAACAGGAAATAGATGATGGCCGCACCAGATACAGCTGTGTTTTAATGCATTTAAATTAATTCGTGTATGTAGATACAGATCCTTGATTGTGCTGGCTTTTCTGCTCGTGTTGCACTTCGACAAAACGCGTTTCTCCCAACACTCTAGTATGTTAAACATATATATGGATTTTTCAGTCATTCCTTGAATGTCCAAATCGTCTGGCTACGTTCTCATTGGTCTCTGCCGCCTCCTTTATCGCCTGGAGCAGCAGCGTGTTTCTCTGCCGCGTCTCCTCCATCCGTATCGGGCTGGCCTCCGGCAGGTTCTGGGGGCAAGAGCGAAATCGTCGCCTAACTTAAAGGCATAACACGCTGATACTGCAAAATAAAATCCATATCTGTATGCGTTTTGCTGCTACATTACTAATACGACGTTTTAAAAATGGATAGATTTGTTACGAAGCTTGAGCTTCTTGAGTTTATCAGATATTATTTACACTGTGAATTAAAATACTGTTAGTCGAGTTTCAAAATATGTCAAATAAAAAGAAATGACATTTCACACTTTTTCTAGGTAAGCAAAAGGCACAATAAACAGCAGATATTAGAGAGAGCAGTTACTAATCAGGCGAAACCCACAGCCTACTAAAATGCTTTACAGCCGCTGAGACCGATGCTGGATACCTTCATCATTTCTCTCCTTCTGTCTTCTCCCGGCAACATCATAAACCACAGGGCGCCCCCTACGCCGATGACGCCAACAATTCCTGCATATCCCAGTATTGTTCTTACGCTACTCATAGCCCCCGAAGGAAATCACGCTTTTCGCAGACAAGCGATCACTACATATCACTATACACCCGCCGTTCAACTTTCTCGGCAAGCAGAGGTTCAGCAGTGCATTTCGGGATACCGTCAGTCAAATACCTCCGGTTTCTTTTCCCTTAAATGAAACTCGTTCCGGATTTTATAGTGTTTGTAATGTTAATAAAAATGCTTTATTCCATCTAACATTCATAACATTCATAACAACAACAACAACAAAAATAATAATGATATATTTGTGAACATGTATTTACGCGCACACACACACACACACACACACACACATATATATATATATATATATATATATGTGTGTGTGTGTGTGTGTGTGTGTGTGTATAAACTTCCGATTCCTTATATGACCTACAGGATAATAACTTTACGCTTTGGATTAATTATTTGTGGAAGTTCTGTGTACTGAGTGCAATATTGTTGTGCCAGGTCTACCAAATGACCACCAGATGTCAACCACGCAGCGTGTTTGCAATGATCCAGGCTGTCACGCCACAATAACCTGTTGCCCCGAAGCTACATTTCATTTTTATTACAAGAACTATTAAAAACGTCTGCTTTGATCTTATTGGCGGAGGCGTTTGGGTGTGAATGTACTTCATTCTCAGAATACTTGAGTGTTTAGCCACGTGTGTGCAGCATTTAAGCAAAGATATTTACATAATGACCTATTTATACCCAATGCTGCTTTTATTGCAGCAATTCAGATTTTAATATCTTGTTCAAGCAGTCTTTAGGTTACGATTAGGATTAATATTTAGACTGAATGGACTTTATTAATCCCAGCGGGGAATTCTGGTGCATGCCGCAGCGGGAACATGCACAGGCGAACACAGATATTGTGTCAAACAGACAGGGTGCAAAGACGGCGCACATAGTGCAAACAAATGTAAAAAGGACACATTACATACATGAAATACCCTGAAAACTGCATATTGTGGTACTACAGAGACAGATAAATATTTAAAGATAGGAATATTAAATTAGAGTAAAACTTAGCAATGGTATATGTATGCAGTATACGAGGTCGGCTAGCTACTACAGCTACAAAATGGAGAATGTGGGAAAAGGCGCACATTAATTCCAAATGTTATAATATCTGGCCAGAAATTGGCGGACTTTGGTCCGAAATACAATTGAAGCCGGACCGCGTGATCGATTGATCCCCCCCATCTCGGGTTGGTGAAATTTATCGTCGTGGGATGACCCCCCCCCCCTCCGGTCGACAAATTTGATCTTTTATAATCGAGCGACGACCCCCCATCCCGCTTTTTTTTCTGATTCAGTGGACCTTGACTTTGTGTTGCTGATGGAATTTGGCCCCCAGGAAAAATAATTATAGGGACCCCATAACTATAGCGTACCCGCACGTGGGGGGAAAACGTTTGCAAGCGTGGAATAAGGTTCTAATGTGATTTTACATTCATCCTTCATAAAACAACTTGTGTATACATCTGCCATGTAAGCGTTGGAATAAAACTTCATTGTTCAGGTATTCGTTAGGGGCGAACCTTGTTTGCTTGACGGAATAAAGCTTTTTTAATTAAACTCTGAGATTCACGCCTGACCATATCCGAATTAGATATGGCACGAAACGGTAAAAAAAGGCCGACCCATTTTCATTTAATTCCTACAAAACCATCCCCATTAATCTCGTTTTTTTCTCTCGTACGTGTCCAATAAAAGCATCAAATCTTCATATTTAAAATGATAGATCACGACATTATGACGTTGTTAATTTGTTTATTGCTATATCGTATTACTGCTTCTTCCAGAACGCCCCCCACCCTCCACCCCGACACGGGAAAAATTCATAATGAAGCCCTTTTAAGCAAATCGCATTCTAATGCGCAGTGACTGCTAATTTTTTGTTTTGATTACATTATGCATCTGCTTGGCAGATTCTCATCCGCAATCAGTTTTATTTGCCTATTTGCGGAGCCGGATGCTTCCTCAAGCGAATCAGATGGATTGCCTCTGTGACTGCACACCGGCGTCCCTCTGGGATTAGGAGCGCTCGGTTAAAGGTCCGGTAACTTAGACATTATGCTACCTTTTACCGAATAACAGCTGAGTGTGCACAGACTGAAGATTTCTTTCCAGAGGCACAGTGAGAAAATTCAATATGAGCGTTAAATGTTTGAAACGGCTTCTGGGTGCAGAGATAGTGCTGACAATAATACAAAACACATAATCAGTCAAACAAACATTTTCCCCCGTTTTCATTTCTTCTCTCCCTCCCCTAGATCCGTCAGTAATGACAGCGACTCCCCCGCTTCTCCCTCTGATCGCTCCGCGGACCCTCGCGGATGCCAGCCTCCGTTGCCATGGCAATCCCCTTTCCCGAAAGCGCGCTCTGTGTAATTACATCAATGCGTGTTACAGTATCTGTGTCAGACCGCATTTCTGCGTTTATGCGTTCGGCGGGAGTGTATGTCTTTAATATTTCGGCGACGCATGCAAACTGATAATCTTGTTTGTCACATCAAAAGACCCAATAAAACGTTGAAACCAGAGCGCTAAACACGTTATCGTTGGAAAAAAGGGGCATATTTGTTGCATTCTTATAGGAATATAATTCATTAAATCTGCCTTTCCCAAATCAGGACTTACAGTTTTTGACTATAGTTTTTTCTTCTGGTACTTGTTTTTTGTGTATTCCCATCCTCACTGATTTTCTGTTCAATTGACGATTTCTAAATATTTCTGCGACAGTCTCCATTACGATTCCCTCACGCTGGGGGACTTGTTTATCAAGTGCTTTATCGTAGCCTGACGGTAATAACAATGCTATGACCGGCGGTTTCCGTTTTCACCGGGCCTATTTTCGTCCTTTAGCTCAGATGTTAAATTCATAGGCCTGACTATGTCCTTGCCCCCCATATCCCGGTGGGTTCTATATTCCTTTTATCACACTCCCTCCCCATCTTTAATTCTTTTGCTATCAACCCATTTCCTGTTCTATATCTCAGATGTGACTGTCCGTCCAACTCTTCTTTGTGTAATTAATCTTATTGTAAATCACTTATAAACTTATAGGCCTACCAGAAGCACTAAAACAAAAAATATTAATCCAGTCAATAATACGCCTGCAGGTGTTCTGTGTCATGAATGCCTACTTTTTAAATATATCGTGTTTTTCTTTGTTGAATTTCATCTTGGAGATTTTACATGCATGTTCAAAACTGCATATTCATGTCTGCGCATGACGAAGAGTGTGTGGCTGTGTGTATTGATCATCGGGCTGTTTCTGGAATGTCTGGCTGTTGATTGTGTTGCATTTTTGCATATATATGCGCAGTCGCTGTCAGCAGCTATCTGACACTATACTGACAGTGTACTTCAGTCGTGTCAAGATGAGCTTCGGTGCACCGAGGATATTCACAGCTGTGCCTCGCGGCTGTTTGTCAGTTATATAAGATTACGATGAGTTATATTGTGATGCGAATTCATATACTGTTGCACTGGCCCACCAGGCTGGGGGACCAGAAATGCTCGTTTTTTTTTGTCCGATTATCATAGAGCTGACTTACAGAGACATAGTTTCCCCGAACATCTATGACCCAATAACACAGCCTTCCTATTCAACATAGATAATTTTTGATTCATTGACGCCAATTTTAGCTCATTTCTTCCCTTGTTAATTAATCCACTGGTGCAATTACTAAAATTTCACTGGCGATAACGCGCTTCGCCGTACTGACAATAATAAAAGCATCAACTATTCGGTTAGTGACTTTAATATCATGATATAAACATGTAATCCATTAAAACACGCTCAGAGCGAAGGTATTGCTATTAGAATCGCAAAACAAAAAAAATGACGAGGAATAGGTCTGATTTTGAGAAATCGCAGGACAGATTCTAACTGCCCATTTACGAGATTTCCTCACATCGTTGACATTAATAAAAATGCTTAAGTGATGTAAAATCTTAGATTAGGCCTACCCAGACACACTAACCGCATCTCAAGAAAAAAAACAAATGGATTACTGTCACCCAGAACAGAGACATACTCGTTCCCGAAGGCAAATACGAAGGACATATCATTGTCAGCACAAAGAAGCGGTTTGACAGGTGTATTGCTTTACAGTAATACCCGTCTGTCTGACTGCGCCGCGGGAGCGGGGACAGTTCAGGCAGTCGTCATTTCTGGCAGTACGATCGCGCTTGGCCCCGCTCCACATGCAGTCTCCCCTTATTAATCACAGCGCATCTTCGGCGTCTCTGCGCGTCTCCGTCCTGCTGCGGCTAATTGAGCTTGAAGAGCGTTTTCCGGTTCTCTCTAGGAGCGCCGGGGTGTGGGGCCGGGCAATGTTTATTTTCAGAAATGTGGGGAGGGGCCGGCCCTGCTGTCGTACCCCCCGAGAACGGTACTTAACCTGAATCGCTGAATACCCGGCTGTATAAATGGGTTAAATTGTTAGCATTATTAAGGGGAGTATTTGGTGCAGCTGTTGTGTGGACCTTGGACCAAAGGTAGACTCGTTTAAATCCCAAAGGAAGACAAGACGTGGGGGTGCTTAACCTCCATTGCTTCAAGAAAAATGAGCTCTGCAAGTGGATGACTTTATACAAAAACGCTTGCTAAGTGCTTACACTGCTGCTTTGAGTTTATGCTCTAAAATGTTATATCCCAAGCGATGGGGTCATGCGGGGGGTTGGAGACTGGCGATGTTGCCTCTAAGTCCCATGGTTCCGAGATCCCGGCCCCCACCTGTGTGGGAGCGCTGTTTGTACACTCTATACACGTTCACCAGCAAGCCAGCCGTTGGTTCAGAGAGTCTGGCAAAAGGTCAGTATTACAAACATGAACAGAGTGTTTGTGACATTTCTGATTTTCAAATGAACTAATGGTAATTAAAAAAAACTTCCCCAGAATCTTTTTCCCGCCTCGGTTTAGTTATTTCGGCCATCTGCAGCGCCCCCCAGAATCCCTCCCCGGAATGCGTGCCGTTCCACTTCCTGCCGGGCTGACGGCATTCTTTACACACTGCGGGAGACGCGGCTATATCATTTCAAGCAACCTTATTGGCTACATGGCGCTAATGGAGCGCCCAACAGAGAAGCCCTGACTTAAGACTCGCC